GAATGGGTATCGATTCGCATCAACAGCGTGCACCAGCATCTCCCAGCGTTCGCCAGCGTCCACGAGCGTGCACCAGCGTCTACCAGTGCCCGGGAGGAGAGCATGAAGCGATAGTAGGGTAGCAGATAGCTGGTACCCTCCTATCGCGCGACACTTTCCTCCCAAGCACTGGTAGATGCTGGTGCACACTGGTAGACGCATCGATACCTATACTTCTCAGACCATCGAGACGCTGGTGGACGTTAGTAGACGCTGGCGAACGCTGAGAAATGTTGTTGTGCGCTGGTGACGCTGGCGGACGCTAGATCGATATCTATACTTTCCCAGTCGCTGACGCTGCCGGACGCTGGAAACGCTAGTGGACGCTGTCGCAAAGCATGAACGCAGCCCAGTGGAAAGATCAGATCTCAGTTTAGCCTCCATGGTTTCACCTTTTTCATCGCAGCGTTCACCCCCCCCCCACATGAGAACATGTGAAGCATGATAAAATCACATCCACTTTTGGCTTCACGTTCATTCTATACCGCACTACCAGTTATCACCCTCTACACTTCAATATTTTCCACCCACAGCTGACTCGACTTCCTTTCTGGAGCCTTGAGTGGGATGTGAGGATAATGCTGGAGCGGTTAACCTTAATCTCTCAAAAACGTTCAGGTTCAGGTCTTTCAGAAAGTCCAGAAGTTCGGAAAAATTCCCAGGATTGCAGCGCTATGGTTTTGAAGGGCTAGCAGAGCGTGTTTACCAAGCTTAGCGGGCGCTGTTACCACCATTCACCATCACCCACTAAATTTTCTCTCTCTTGACGTTCTTATTTAGGAGGTTCCTATCGTATGCGAGGAAGAGCCGAGCATGACACGTTTCCCTCCCCTCGCTCTGGACCCTACACACCCTGCAACCTCCTTGTCACTCCATATGAACACTTTAGTAGAATTTCTGGTGTTGATTTTGCCTAGGAGGGCGACGCTATTCTGAACGCGATTGATGCAATTTTCGCGCCATCCATCAAATGAAGTCGTGCAAGCATAGAAAACCCCTTCAACTTCCTTTCGAACGCGCGAACCAATGGGAAGGAATTCTGGAATGGCAAGTGTTGAGTCACTACTGCATGAATACTAACCTTTCGAGAAATTTCTGGAAAATGTCGCCTTTGAGTTGATCGCAGATTTCGACGACGTACCGCTGAAATGAATACGATTAAGTTTTGTACTGATGGTAAGTTTTGCCAAGCACGGCACTAAATCGACTGTTTTCACCTCATAGTCACCCTTTTCTTTTGAGGTTAAATAGCAGTTCTCATGAAGAGTGAATTTGATCTATAGAAGCCATCCGATGTCCTGGCCTAGATTGCGCCATTCGTCATCATTACGGCGCCATTTGGCGCCAAGGACTCTGTCTGGTGCCACGGACTAGTTCACAAAAATTGACATAAACATGCGTTCGGGGGTAACCAAAGATCTCAATCTCAATATAACATTCCTTCTTTTGTACGTGGTGCTATTAGGCGCTATGAAGCACTATTATATGTCTTGCCAGAGTCGATATGCATTTGGTGATTAATAAGGATTATAATTCCAAGTACGACATTTACATTCATTGGCGACAACGCCACAAGGTGCCATTCTGGCACTATGACACTTCCAACCGAAACGGATGTAAGGCTGCGTTTATACTTTGCGGCAGCGTAGCGTAGCGCTTCCAGCGTACGCCAGCGGCAGTGCCGGGGAGAGGATGGATATCGATCTAGCGTTCCCAGCGTCACCAGCGTAACGCTAGCGTTACGCCAGCGTTTCGCCAGCGTTTCACCAGCGTTTTGCTAGCGTTTGCAGCGGCAAACCCCGGCCCCACCACAACAGATAGACAGGACTATGGAAAGCTGGAGAGGGTACAGAAGACATCGATGCGCGTACCCTCACGGGCACTAGTCTCGACTCCCCTGCCGTGCAAACGCCGAGCAAAGCGGTAGCGAAAGCTGCGTAATCCTCGCTAGCGTGACGCTGGTGACGCTGGGAACGCTAGATCGATATGCATCCTCTCCCAGCACTGCCGCTGGCGTACGCTGGAAGCGCTACGCTACGCTGCCGCAAAGTATAAACGCAGCCTAAGTAAGTTACCGACGCCGGGAATACTGTAATAACATTCGTGTTCTGCCCACGATGAAAATTTATCAAAAAATTAGCACCAAAGTGGCGCCGGCATCAAGGCCAAATATCGTATTCGTGATCACAATCCCTAAACACCCGCATGTGCAAATTTTCATCAATTTCGATGTAAAAGATCGTGGCGGCAAACTTGCGCCGTTTGCCGACAGATGGCGTCAGCGCCAAAATGCATGTCATATTCATGATTAGAGGGATAAATGGCGAGAATCAGCTTGCATGTAAGAATTTCTACAGTGAAATCATCAGTAAGAAATATGTGCGACCGAAACTTGCACTATGTGGCCGCGTGACGCACATGGTGTGTCACGCCAGCCTTGCATAGAAAAGGCTGCGGCCACACGTGAACGCCACGCGAACTAGGCGTCGGCGTCGGTCTGTTGGGAGGATTCAGCCAAAAAAAAATTAACAACAACTGCAAAGCTTGTATGAAAGCTGTTGTACGTTAGTACTGTCCAGTCTGTGCCGTGGGAATGGATACTGCCAAAGCCAATTCCTTGCAAAGCCTGCGGTTGAACATCTTGTTGAACGCCTTTGGATGTGAGAGGACCTACACGAATGTGCTGTTGCTTGCGACGAGACAACAAACTTTGCTTCACTAATGAGGCGCATCGCCATAATTGCTGAAGATACCATCTCAAACGTGGAGTTCCTCAATTCATCGAGCGTTTCTCCACTCTTGCCCTTAACTGAGTGAGAAATACATGAGTTAGAAGATGTGTACATTTCATTGAAAACAGGAGTATGCCAAACAAAGTATGGCTAACATGATACTTCCAATCTGTGACTCAAAAAAAGTATTGCCATATTCGATACGCACTGTTCACTAGAGGGGTAGAGCATCGTCGTGTGTGGAATGGAGGTGTCAGCACGAGATCCCCTACCTTCCTCAACACCTACGTACCACTTTCCCACAATCCGCCTCCCTACAGTTTGTTCACCCAAGTTTCCGTAGAGCGAGGAGGGTCAGGGTGGTATTTAGCACATGTAAAACGGGAAAAGCCGCGAAAAGTCAACACAGGGAAAAAAATTTCAACGCGGCAAAGTCTGATCTTCGAGTGGCACACTACGGCTCCCCTCTCCCATCAACGACCAAATAAACCCCCCCACTCCAGCGGCAAGATAGACTTCTTCCATGTGTTTAACCCAACGATGCAAACGAATCTGTACCTGCTTCCACTTGCCCTTCAGGAGAATGCAGAGGTGTTGGTAAGGGTAATGTACCCAGACCTGCCAGCCTACCGCAGTGCGAAGCTATTTTTCTTAGATTTCATTACCATTTCCAAAAGCCGATCTCTCGGTCTCGTTCAAAAGAAACCTTTTATAGGATTAGCAGATAGACCGGGACCAGGAAGGTAGCTGCTTAGGAGCGACGGTGCCCACTAAACGCGTGGTTCAAGGAAAAAAAAATCAGATTTCCGCTTTAATTAGAGCTGCTGCAGTCGGAACCGTTCATAAAGACGAAACCACTAAAATCTGCGTCATCTATTTTTATGAGTTACGTCATGAGCAGAACACATTTCATAATGTAGATAGAATCTTGAATGTCAAAACCGTCGCATAGCTTGATTGGTTCGAAATGTTCCTCATATCGTTTTTTTTTACTTACTCGCCCATATTCTGAAGAGGTGTAACCGGTAGTGTGAGTAACAATATCCAAGAAGATACTCCCCTATAACCCACTCACTTGTCTCCTAGTTCTTCTTCTTCGTTTGCATTATGGACAAGACTGCGTTCCGTGCTGTCAGCACCCACCCTCTATCCCGTCCCTCGAAGCTGCCTCTTCTATCACCCCGGCTTGAGCAGGAGAGCTGCCCAGGCCAAAACGCTGAATAAGCAATGCCCAGGTATCGGACAGTGCTCCAAAGCGGGAGTCTCCAGCTTTGAGGACGTGAGGTCTCGATGTCCATGTGAAATAAGCCTGAGAGAGTTGGGGCCGGCCCGTACACTATTGTACTGATGAAGGAGCCTGTTCTTTCGGGTCACCTGCTTATGCAAAGCAGTTATGAGATCTGAAGCGAATCATCGATCAGGTGGAAGAATTTCTCCGCACCTTGGCCTTCAACATGACAGTCAGCCTACAAAGCTTCAGATGAAGGTTGAAACGGAAACTTCATGCAGATCAGAGCATGAATTCTCTCGCTTTAGCCGCGTGTTGCAAGCTCAGGCATTCCTTCAAGTCAAAATCAACATAAAGAACCGGCAGACTCTCCATAAATAAGCCCGATGCCAAAAAATGTGATAGGCAGGGTACAGCATGGGGATGTGCGAAATGTCGGTGTGAGCACGACCCCCCCCTTCACGCTCCACGGCTTTTTCTTTTTCCTGCCCATATAAAACAAAAAATTAATACGACCCCCCTTTTTCCACAAGAAAAAATCAACTATCAAAATAAATTTGTCTTACAAATACGACCCCCCTCCCCAGAGCAAAAGTACGACCCCCCATGTTTGACACAACGATGCGAGTATCCCTGGTGACAGGACTTTCGCTCGCCCAGCTAATAAAACGAGGCCAGGCGTGCACTATACAAGTGTTTCCTATCTCCCAACGAGTACACAAACTCAAAAACAAGTACGTATAATCGCTGTTCGCACGATGGGAGTCTGAGTCCACAATTTGACCCTGGCGGACTGCCGGGGAAGGGTGCTCCATTTGTCACTACACTCCTGATCCAACTCATATGAAAAATCGGCGGGTTGTCACACTGAGATTGTACTACCGGTCTGCTACTACTCCGTTGAGACTACTCCTCTTCCCAGTACTTGACTTACACTTTGTGTTCTTCCAGAGATGATTTCAGGGCAAAATCTTCGAGTGAAATTTTCGATTCGATGACGTTAGGAAAGATTCCTTTCGGAAACAAATGTAAACTAGTCATTTGAAGAGGACAAGCATAATTCTATTTCATGGTCACGAACGCATAATAGTCAATCAGAAGATGTCCGCAAAGGGCTGTCAATGCGAAAGCTCTCACGACGATACAACTATGAATCGTTCGCCACCCAGAACGAACGCTTTTCATTTATGAGAATCTCGAGAAACTCTTGCTTGAACGCCACATTAATTAATCATTTTTCTTGAAATGATGAGAAATCAAACTTTTGGACTTTCACGGTAGTAAACCCTTATCTTTCTCCAGTTAATAAAATCTACGGCATATGCGAGCTCTCCTTTGCAGCCATATATAGAGAACGTCTCATTTTGCATCTTCACCAGAAAAAAAAGAAACTCAAAGCAATTTAATCCAAGTGAGCCCAACTACCGTCGCTTGACTTACTGAGCCGAAAATTTTTTTCCACAAAGCAAAAACATACCTGAAATAAATCCGGTGGTACAGAACCCTTGAGCAGATGATACTGAACATGCTGTAGTGAATCCTTGGAGTAGTTCTGTAAAATATGTATGCCAGTATGAACATGCACACTTAGCCAATGGGACATGGGTTCGGCGTTTCGGTTGGGAGCGTCCACGCCGCGGCCCACAACTCACAAGGGAAGGATACCAACTCGTCCTGGCCATTCAGAATGAGATGTATATTCCTAGGAGCGTCTCCGGATACTGATATCAGATCTGACTTCCAAATCTGCTAAACGATTCTGGGTGGAGAGTTACGGACCTTTTTTGCTACCGTGCTTAACCATTGCGGTGCGACCCCTGCCCATGCTTTGCGCTCGTAAACCCCTCGTGACCCAGCTGCCGCCGTGGCTCGATGGCGCAGCAGGTAAGTGGATGGCTTCATAGTAGTGAGACGGAGGTTCAAATCCTTGATGCATTTCGTAGTTTTGCTTTTTCTTGAAACGCATGCTAAACACTTGGGAAGTAGTTTTGCGTACCTGTCCGACCACCAAGACCCCTCCCTGCTTCTTGGGCCTATGTGCGACTTTTCAGGGGGTTTTATTTTAACTTCAGTGAAAGCATTCATTTTGATGGTGTTGGCGTGACAGCTTCATTCGAGGCATATATTTTCGTATTTAATGGGAAACATCAAAGGCTTGGTCCACGATCAGGAATAAAGTTGGAAATATGGTGTCGCGAGGGTAGTGGTCCGCAAGGAACAACCTTGTACTGGTTTATGGCGAAAAAATTGTTAGGGAGGGGTGGTATAACGAAATATGGCTCCAAAGAGGACACTCCTTTACCAGTGGCTCGGTCTCCAGACTCTGCCTTCAAGACCCATCATCCAATGAAAAAACGAACTGCCAGTATCCGAAAAAAGCTATAGCAAAATCGTAATCACTGATAAGGTGCGTAGAGTCTATGATGAGATGAGCGGGTGTCGGATGAGGGCGTAGTGTAGGAGATGGAGCTCACTGGGCACGTACAAAGTGGCTTGAAATGGGGTTCTATCTAATTGTAAGGCGGGTGACGAGTTTTTTCTGCCTTTTTTTCATTACCGAGTTACACAGCTCTAGTCTATGCGAACCCCTAATGCACTATCTGTGATTGCGATTTATCGCAGGCTTGCCTTGGCGAGAACATGGATATCTGCAATACAAAAATGTTAGAGCAAAAATGTTCTTCACAGTGTGAGCTGCGAATAAAAAGAATTTCGCTGCAACCATTATTCTCACAGATTCCCTCCAGATGATATGTAATGCAATATTGGAGAGAACTCTCGAACTCGTCTGGGATGAGGTTCAAGGTAACTGCTGAATACCAGGATTAAGAAAGAATGTTCAAATCTAGATGCTCTGAAGGGATTCATCGTTATCTTCAGATGCCCAGAAAGGATCCGTATGTTCGTCCTCCACGAAGCTATCTCCCTCGCAGTCGATTATACGGTTGTAGTACAGTGCGTCGCGCACAATAGGATAAAAACTCTCTGCAATCTTCTTTTCTTCACGGGATAGTGATCAAACAATATCGCAAGACCCGAATTCTTTCACTAGGTGTGATAGCACCGAGAGCCGGCAGAACATTTTCCAACGTATGGTGACATTGTCGCAAAATGTGGGCTGTAATTTTGTGGGCGGTGAGGTGAAGAGAGCTTACCAGAGATCACGATTCGTTCGTTGGTCAGAAGTTGTCAGCCTATAGGGATTGATTGAAAGTCTCGCAGTTCGACGAGCTCCCAAGCAAGTATGCATTGTACTTTTGGTCCTGCTTGAGGCGAAGTGAGGCAGAAGGTTGGAATGGTAAGTTCACCGTAAAATTTCGTTTTTGCGGGGGCTCAATACAGGAGGGAGGAGGGCGGGTCTGGGTGGCGGCAGTACCGGGCAAAAATTACTTGCCAACAATGGGATTCTTCAAGCCGTCTCACTCCTCGTCTTCTACCTACTTCGAATACCACACATTTCAAGGCCGATCAGAACAAATGAAACTCCGTTAAACTGTCGCAGAAAAAGTGCGAGAAATACGGTAGCCTCTAGCGAACAAAGAAGATTGGTTTCGTGTAAAAACTAAACGTGAATCGCGGTGGTTCACGCCTCAGTTTGACACGTTGCCTGCAGTTTTATTTGCATCTTTTGAACTGAATATAAGTATAGCGGAGAATATTGAAGTGAAGCTGTTCAAAGCGTCAGAAAATTTGCTGGACAAGAAACCCGTCTATCGAATGGTATTTGGTGCAGTCGTACTAACTGCTGACGCTGGGATGTGTCAAGGGGCCGGGTTCCACGCGAAGCCAGTCCATTCTTCATCGATAAGCGACAACGATCGGTGGAGAAACGAGTTGGCTCCACGTCAGACCCGGACCCTGCGTCTGCAGTGAAAGCTACGCTAGCTACCGTATGATGCTCATCACTGTCAGAGCGTAGGGATTCTTTTGCCGCTGCTGATTTGCTCATTTTCCAGACGTAGTTAGCTATTCCATCGCTTCGCCTAGCTAGTTAGGCGAAGAGGTGGAATATGTTAAGTCCATGGAATGCTTCCTGTTCCAAGAGGCTTTCTGCAACCGATAAGGCTTGTGGCGCTGCGCGTATTGCTGTGCAGCCAGAACGCTTTTTTTTCCGCCAATGATGCCCCTGAGTACGCTATAATTGGTGGAAAATCTGCCCTAGCTGCATTCCAAGCCACGCCGCTGACTGAAGCTCTAAAGCTCCATCAGTACCAAATTCTTTGCCCTAAGATGGGTGCTGGACGTGCACAAGTTAGACATTACCTATCTACTTGGCTCAACATACTGTAGCATTCGTCAATTATTAGGTTGTACGGAAAGTTTCAGCAATTTTGTGTTACTATTTTTTGTACATTCATTGCTGATTAAAAACATTCTCCCTCAGTAGTACATCCTGAAGAGAATTTTTTGCGCTATCTGATGGTATAATTGCCGTTTCACCATTGCTTGATAACCCCCTTTCCCAAGACTTTTTGAAGCATGTCAAAAGAGCAACTTCGGACGATATTTTTCTTCAACTACAAATTGGTCAATCCGCAGTCGAGACAGCTCGACAAATTAACCAGGTGTGGGGCCCAATAGTGTTGGAGAAAGCACCGTGCGACAATGGTTCGACAAATTTCGTTCTGGAGATTTCAGCCTTGAAGATGAACCTCATAGCGGTCGACCTAAAGCAATATCTGACGAGGATTTTAGGGGGATTTTGGAGGCTGACCCATCCCAAACAGTTCGAGAGATAGCAGAAGAGCTAGGCGTTGGCAAATCCACTGTTGCAGAGATC